AGGCATCAAGCAAATCGATTTTTTCGCTGTCGTCGAGTATATCCCCAACCTCGTCAAAGATAGACCTTTAAGAGTATCAGAATTGCCGTCAACTTATCACTGGGATCTTGTCAGTCACCCACCCAGTCATACACCATCAGAAGTAGCCATCTTCCGAACCGTCGTAGCGTAAAATGATCCCTCAGGCCAAGGACCAGTTGACGTTTTAAGGTCCGGTTGGGAACGCACATTTCTTTTGATCAGGCTTATCAAAGTTCAGTGAATGTCGGACTCCCTCAAGTAGAAGATGTTATCTGGATGTTTGGTTGTGTAAACAGTGACTCACTGGGAAAAGGACAGGGTCTGAACCCTTCGACACAAGTACAATAGCCGATTAAGCGGTCCCATTACAATGGCTATTGAACTTGTCTTGAAAAAGTTGAACTTGTCTCGGCTCGATCCAAGCAGAGTGTACTCGCTTGGAGAATTTGATCATTCAAAACCAAGAAATGGGGAAGACCAGGAGAATGCCTGCACCCATTGGCATGAATTGGGAGACCTGAACCTATAGGGCGATGCGGTAAAACCAACGGTACCTTCTCATAGCAAACGACCACCTATGCTCATATGTAAATGATAGTTCCATAAGATAATTTCTATCAATTTCGTCATGGTACGTTTGATTGCATGTATCTCTGAAAGAGAATAGAACGCCGACCTGAATTTCTGGTTCTTTTACCAGGCATTTCCGATCATTTTTAATCAAAGACTCCGTTTGCAACAAACTTAAACCAATTTCTCATATGAACAGCCGAATATCCTCTATGGACTTAACTATGCTATCGCTCATTTACTGACATGCCATCTTAAAAAGTACCACTCCGATTTGATGTACTGTTTGTTTACTCGACCAGATACTTTACCATATATGCCACACATAGTTTTTTATGAGTATCTACTGCCGATGCTGCTCTATGAAATCTGGTCTATTTCAGGGGTTCTCTAACAGCTTTACTTCAACCTTTTCATAGCAATGTCAGCGGTTAGACTCCATGAGCTCCTGATGGCCTCTTTAATGAGGATTCAATCAGTGGACAGATTACGATCACGTGTGGAAAATTCACTGGTCTTCTAACTGCCCAGATGCTTGACAGGAGCCGTGTCGTCCACTTATGAGAGGGTATCAAGCTAAGGATATAGGAACACGCTTCTCTCTTAACTGATTCTGACCCTACACTTCCCTGAAGGGATTGATCTCAACGCTACCCTTTTCCAAACTTGGCTTATTCCTTCAGCGCAGTCGTGTCTTACGACTATAAATGACGATCAAAATTGTATAGGAGTAACCGTGAGAGGAAAAAAGAGAAAGCACTTTGACGACCTTCTCTCGCGTAGCAAAGACAACCTCAGTCCAATTCCGTCGAGAGAACTAGCTGTAACTCCCAGCAAATTTTCCCTGACAAGCATGATTCGGTAATTACGAGTAAGAAGAGACTAAATCTATGTATTTTCGCATACTTTACTTTTTACTAACCACCTTTCCTCACTACACATTCGAAACAGATCACATAAAGTTAGGGATTGGATTTTCATATTTTGACTTTTAATGTATGTACATGAAATTTTAGAACTCGAGCAGTCACCACGTACTTCATTATCAACCTCGCTTTCGCCGATCTGCTCACCGGAATATTTGCAATTCCATTCAAATTTCAAGCAGCACTATTTCAAGTAGGTTATTACTGATCCAGATATCTTCCGACCGATGTAGTAAAGCCATGACAGTTATGGAATGTAATTCAGTTAACAGAGTTTGAAGCTCATTACTATGGGATTGCCTAGTTTTGCACGGTAATACACTAAAAGTGGTTCTGCGCCTGTGAGTAGGAGATATGGGGCTGTGGAAAAAAAGCAAATAAACAACCATTTAGGGTCAAGTGGGGTCTGGAAGTCACCTAAGAATTCCACCGTCACTTTCCAAAGGGGACCACTTCTTTTGGCGCCGTGGCCTGCGCTCTCTCACTGGTACAGTAACCTACTAGTCACATCCTCCCGCTAGAGAGGCAAGGAATAGTGCAGCAGTTCCCTCGAACTACAATTTCACCGATTTCTCTTCTACCATAGAGACACCAAAACATTGCGCAGATGAATAAATCATTAAAGTTCTGTAGTGGGCACCCAAGCCCCTTGATTCCCACGTTTGAACCTTACAGCCCTCATTCGCTATTAAAGGATGTGTTCTAGGCCATTCTGATTATGGTGAACTGTACATGCAAGCCCTTGAACTACATTGTTTCATATGACCATTTCAGGAATGGTTCCTGCCGTCATCATTATGTCAGATCGTTCCTTACGCAGAAACGGTCTCCTTGTCGGTTTCGGTGTTCACTCTCACAGCATCAGCTGTTCACGAATTTCGAACCACGTTCTTTCCAAAGCAGGGTCGGCTGAACACCAGAAGTGCCAGGTGAGAAACAGTGGTATTTCTGGAGGCTTTTGATCCGAATGTCAGTTGGTTTAAGGTCACTGGTGCTGCTGATTTGGCTTGTAGCGGCTCTCGTCTCACTTCCGCATGGTCTTTTTCACAGGGTTTATCTGATTCAAGATGGTGACCTCATTATTTCACAGGTATTCATTGCCTTTTTCATGCCTCCATGTTGTGGTGGGGCAGCGCACCTGTCCTTTCTTCACGATCGTGATGGTGTTTGAAAGTTTATCAGGCGAATGCACCCATTTGCTCGGTTACTCCTCCCGACAGCAACACTCTTTGCCCTCCACTACTAGGGGCATATTCAAATTGAGCTTATTTTATAGGATGAATTTTAGAAAAGAACTACGCAATCACGGAAGTGAGTTCCGGCTATACCTGCTCTTATCTATTCCATCGTGCAGAATTTTGCAAAGGGCAAACTTCATTTTTTGCATCTACCGAAGAATTCTGTTCAATCATGTCCATTGAGGAAGTTCAGCGGAGCATAAGTAAACCTCTACATCGAAATTCCGGTGAAAATGCCATAGAGTGGCTCAGATCAATTGGCTGAAGGGCTCTACCCAAGCTCGAAAAGATAAGCTAACACTGGAAAAAACTTACTTCAATCAGTTCAGGGGACCATAAAGAGGATCTAGATTATTCTAAGGTGAAAAGACTTCAGTTGAGACCTAATAGTTCTGCTCTTCTAGAAAACTTTCAGGTTCAAAAGGGTTTTGGGGTAGGCTCTATCAAAACAGTTGACCCTTTCCGAGTTTCCTCGATATCAAACACGAGTGAGGTGCGTGGCCTGCTTCTGGGCCTCGCTCTATTGAAAACGGCTGGACATCTTTTTATTTGGTAAATTTCTATTCTATACAAGCCTCATTCAGTGCCGACCTGTGTATGCGGACGAGAATTGGTGGAAAATGTATAACGTCTACCTGACTATCATACATTATTTCGTCCCAATGATCATTCTTGACACAGCTTACACAATGATTGCTATAAAGGTAAGTTACCGTAGAGGAGAGATGGTGCTTTTACGGAACAAGCAACAAAAACGGCCTGTGAAAACAGGGCGCGTTCATAGTGCGACGGCGAAGAGTTGTACGCCTATGGTTACACACGCAACGCATCGTTGCAGAACTTGCAATCATAGGTCTTCTTTCCTTTCCCGAGGAAACCGTTTTGCTTTCTTGAGCTGTAAGCCCTTCTTTGATTTCGGCATGAGTCATCAATTTGCGAGGTATCGATTGACGGTCAGCGCCGACGTCGGCGTCTTGACGATGGTACTATGAATGCGCCCACATCTTCCATTAAGATTTTCTTGTTTACGACCGTAACGAGCAAAAAAGTTACGCAAGAATTATAAAGTTTCGCTTTCACCTTGACTTAGTGCTTTTTTGAACTCTACCGATACACTTTCAGATTTGGGGTTCAACCGTTAACAGCTCCGAACAGCAAACTTCTAACACTCATGCCAACCTCAATACGGAAATCTCCAATAGAAAGGTAGTTTTTATGCCATCAGCTTTTTTTCTTTAATTGTTCTACAGAGAATATGTTGGCTCTCTAAAGAGGAGCGCCCACGAGAGCTTTCCTGGACGTGGTTTCCTACCAAATCCCTAAGGCAGACTAAACGGAATCGTCGATTTCAGTGAAAAACATATAAAAATATTCAGTTTGCCCTCGACCTCGCAACAATTTGAGGGACAGTCTGCAGTAGGGCGTGTTCGAATTGGGATGAAAAGAGAGTTTCCTAGCTAGAAATGCGCCCCGTTGTTTGTTCCCTTCTGGAATGATTTTTCACCGGTCTCTGCTTACTCATGATACCGGGCGATAAGTAAATTATGGCAATTTGTTTGATCGAGAACGACTCGAACCATTGATGACTATTTTGATGATAGTTGCAGTTCTATTTCGAACAGATTTTAGCCCCGCCTCTTCAAACGCGCCCTTCATGTGACTAAAGATTCTCTGTGTACGATTTCTTTTAGAAATGCTCTTGAATTAACAAGACGCCATTTTTTCAGTTAATGAATATGCTAATGATAGTTGTCGCTTGCTTTTCTCTATGCTGGTTTCCACTCGAGACCTACTTACTGCTCAATGAAATTCGACCGGAAATTAACGGGTCCGTCACATTTTTTTAAATTTTGAGCCCTTCAGATGAGAGCTTTTCACAGAAATGTTTCAGATGGAAGTACATCAATATTTTATTCTTCTGTTCACATTGGCTCGCAATGTCAAATTCATGCCTGAATCCGATTATTTATGGATTATTTAATGTAAGTCCACTTTTGTACACAATAGATATGTAGTTCAGCTTTTGATCAGTCAAATTCTTTTTTCTATCTGTTTCGAAAAAGTGTCCGAAATTGATAATAAGGGATAAAATCTTGAGCATTGATCAATCTCGTCTGAGGTATGCGCCCTTCATTCGTCTTCCATTCAAAATTTTAGTGGCGAATTGAATGCGTGTGTTATCTATACAATAAGTTGCGGCGGCCAGATAATGTACAAGTCAGTGCCTTTATCCTCTCAGGCGAGTTTGGTACCAACTAACCGATCCCGGAAGGGTGGAAGACTTGGTTGGCCTGAGCTGATATCGATCCGGAATGCGTGGGCGCATCCCTCAGACGGGATTGAGTAACGCCCCAAAAGTTTATGCTTTTATTTTATCGTTAGCATCGACATTTTATAAAATCTATAGGTACAGCGGAGAAGATTTATTTGATGAGATTTATTACAGAATAAGTATAAACGTGAATATCGTCGGGTGTTCAATTGCCTTCGCTGCCGAGCGGATACCGCTATGGAAGTGGAACCGCAAAAGTTTGAAACAGAATATTCAGTAGGGGTAAGCCATTCCTGTATGTTTCTCAGTTTATTCATACATTACTTGGAAGAATTGACGTTTGTGCAGATAAAATCGTCTCGTATATGTTAGGGAAGAGATTCTCAGGTGAGCGTTCTGTAGGAAAGGCCTAAAGGGCACGTATGCCAGAAATTCCGCGTCCCAGTCAAAGGCTCAATTCACGATAAAAATCTTTCTGAAATTTCTCCATAGGGCGAATTCGAAGCCCTTCTTATACCATATCTCTCATTATTAGGTCGGAAAACGGCCTAGTTGGGGAGTTATAAAGACCCAAAGACTGCCCCGTGTATATCTTCGGACGAGTTTACCGGCATTGTAGAGGCTGCACCGATTACAAGAGAACCCATGTAGGAAGTTCAAACATCTTGTCATGACCCATGGCGACAGTGGAAGGCAATTTTGAATAGATTTGACTTGATGTAGCTTTGTAACAGCTCTTTGGGCAATTGCAATAAGTGAAATCTCGCCCAAATGACCTTCCGTGTCATTTTCGTCATGGTGATCTCGTACAACGTCTATTTTCACTACTTTTGAGGAGACTTTTTTTTCGCAAAGTCGACGAATTTTCTCGCTTCCTTCACCACCGATACTATTCCCAACCAGTACATCTACTTTTTACTTGAAAAGAGTACCTTATGATCATCTTGAACTCTTTCCTCACGCCTTCAAGTAAACAGCTGGGGTCACTCGAGGATTAACCTAGGTCTCGTCAACTTTGGAAAGTATCTCTTTTGGCCCACGTTTCTTCGAGAGTTTTTGTTTACTTACATTGGTGTTTTGTCGAATTGTGGGTTCTCGAAGTTCTCACAAACCAGGTCTTCTATTCGGCCAGTGTGCATCCTCTGATTAGATTCTGGGACAGAATCTAGCTAAGCTGCTTTCGAAATGCATTTTATGGATTACAATCCTCCAGTCTCCCTCTCTTCGATTAATTTCCATAGGCTACAAAAGCGGATTTCAATTTTTTGTGAAAAAGAACATCCACAGAGGAGCGGTTTAAGTGGGAAGGTACTGCTCTATTGCAGGACCTTCCTTTTTCGAGTTATACAAGGTGAAGTGTCTTGACACGTCCACCAGAACTTCTGCAAAACTCCCAAGTTTCGATCTTCATGGCGCATCCTCACTCATACCCGTGAGTGTTGCACACCTGTATAGTTCACTGACTCCGACTCAGAACATCTCTCACATATTGGCCTCCCTTTTTCCTAAAAAAGCGATTAAATCAATTTTAGGTGCTTGAACGTAAGTGGCCGAATCCATACGCATGCGATGGAGCACCGTTCTATTCGGAAACGTTTCAGATCAATCTACCTCCTTCTACCGAAATCACGAGTTCAGAACAAGAAAAACAACTATAGACACTGTTGCTCCAGTGGAAATTGTTACTACTATGTGTGTGTTGTATACGAATATTTAAAAATAATAATTGTATATTGTACTCTTCTATTTACATACTCTTTCCCACATGGACAAGAGATCATTTTGGAACAGGGAGCGCATAAAAATTATGTTTTCAGAGTCCTAAAATGGCAAAAACGAAGTGTCGTTGAGATTTTTCGATTCAAGTGAAAGTACGGTAACTTCTGATCCAGAAAACTGCCAACTAATTTTCTGCTTTTCTGAACCTAAGTGGAGAAATATCTTTTTTGAGTAACCTTTATGGAGAACCGAAGAAAATGTATCTCCCATATAAATGTCACCCTAACCAAGCATTGGGTGAAGGCGGTGTAGTGGAAAGCGGCGCACTACCGCATTCATGGTCACGGTTTCGAATCCTGGATCAGTATCTGCCTAGACCAACCAAGTCTTTCATCAAACGAAGGCCCGTTAACATAAGCATTCAATAAGAACCTAGGATTCTGGATGGGAGTCGAATGCGGGGTACATCCCTCAGACGGATTCATTTACCGTCCAAAGATCTTGTCCTTTGACTAAACGTTACCCGTGGCTCGCTTTCTCGGCTGTCAAGCATCAGTGTAGGGCTTCACTCCTAAAGGTCGGCTGGTACAAAGTAGTTGGTAAACATACCCAGCCATGATTTTTCTGGATTAAGCTGAACTGCACTTATGCTTCTCTCCTGTATTTCTCCGACAAATTCCGCTGAGGTTATGCCATCGGAAAAGCGGAAATGCGAATTTTTTAAGAGCAATTTTCTCCCGACTTTGAAACTCGCAAAGATATTTCTTCAACTGGTTATCTTGGAACCCTTAAGCAGTTCCTTGAGAGTAAAACTTCTGCGCCACCAACCACTTCCTTCTCCGCCCTCTTTTCTCCCTTTCTTTAAAAACTCATGGGAGCAAAGATTCTTTCACAAACGTCATCAAATGTAAGGGGATGTACTGGGACCTGCTTTGGGAGAGGGGATTGCAATGACCACCCAGTAATCGGTCACGCTATGTGTCTGACCCTGATCTAATGTCCAGCATTTTCAAGGGCTACGTACGTTCGTGACAACTGGCGTGTGATATGACGCGCGTGTATTCATTCGTGCGTTCACGCATCGAGGAACTGCTTAATTGGGGAGGAGAGGTTGATGATGATCCACCTGGGTGATTGCTATACTCAGCCATATAATTAATTCAATACTCCCATCTGTACCATGCAATAGAACTACCCATTAAGCATTCACCCAAAACACTTTCGTATTCGGGAGTAATTTGTAGAAACAAAGCGCAGACCTGGAGAGCAGATGAACCTACCTGCCTGTCCACACAATCCCAGAATCGCCTTCCGTCCAATGGGCAAAAACAAACGATGGACTATTGACATTCTGCTGAAAACATAAGTGCAGAACGGGGAAAACCACCTGTAGACACTGTTGGGATATGGGACGTGTCCTCCCTTGCTGAAAATAGATCTAGTAGATACGGTATGCAGCCCATGCTACATTCCTCCTCTTCTGTGCAAAAATTTGATAAACAAATAAAGTTCCCATTCCGTTCCAGGATGTGCCTACCCAATCGACTTCAATGAAGAAGCATGGTTTGAGGGTATTGGTGCTGCACAGTGACTTATGGGAAATGTAAAAACCTCCCAGTTGGATCAGGTACCGATGAAAGGTAGAGGCATCAGGGCCCAGGTGGATACAAAGCAGGGATTCCGATGTCTGGACTTTTGGACTGCACGTGAAGTGGCAGCACTGCGCTACCATCTCCACCTTGAAATTCGTCCTCAGTCATCAAAACACGTTATCTCGACCCTATACCTTTTGAAGGGGAAGGAAAGGGAAGAGAAAAAGAGTAGAAGGGAGGGTAACGATTTTTTTTTTGCGTGATCAAGCGGTTCTGGGATATGCCCACACGGTGGACCAACATTCAGGGTTGTGGTGGCGTTTGAATGCTGTCTAGGCCTGCCCAGAGAATTCTGGGCCTATTTGTAAGCAAGCTAGTCTGAATGAATCCAAAGGAACTCGGGAAAAGCTTCTTCTACTAGGAATCGATTGAGAACCTCCTGCCAAGGTAAAACACATGGCTGACTCTATCTATATGAGTCTGTTCCATATGAGGTTTTCTCCGGCATAACGCCCTCGTGGCGTAGTTTTTGGGAAAAGTTTCGAGGTCCCAACTCTTCCCAATGTAGTAATTAATGGTTTTTCTCCCATCCATTTTCAAATTGGGATTGGCAACAGAACTGGGACGAATCCCAGTAACGAGTGCGGCTCTAATTGCGTAGCCCCTTTGCTGGCTTCAGTTCAAGATCTAATACTTGAACAAACAGTGTCAAGGATCTACTTAGCTGCAATAAATGCCGCTTTATCTGCTACATCACAAAGGACCCGCCTGCTAGACCTACTGAAGATGGCAGCTTGGCCAGAGATTATGTGAGAGATTACGAGAGACATCCAGTGAGTGACTGGTGGCATCAAATTGGCTTCCGCTAATGAATCTACAAAAAGACTACAATGACGCCGTTTCGGTAGAATGCAAATACAAAATACTCCAACCACTAGTGAAAGTTCCGCTTTGGAACGTCTAGAAGAGGAGATTTTGGATCTCCTGCCCCAGCGGAAGGCCAATACACCTTTTCAATCAACTCCCATATATCGGCGTATATCTTACGGGTAATAAACCTAGTTTATGGCAGTTAATTTCGTCGTTCTTCCAGTTGTCGAAATAACTAACGACGCTGGCTAGCCATATATGTACGTCTTACTAGTATACCGGTGTAGAAGGAACGTCTTACTCTATAGAAGCCACGAGCAGTAGGGAGCAGTGAGAAATTTTCAAGGATCTATCGACCGGGCCCCAAGGATGGGTTCAGGAATCCATTCATCGGGGCCCGGCAAACTAGTGGAGTTCCAAATTTAGTTGTCACAGTTTTCCCCAAATCTTTCCAAAGGGGTGCTGGAGGGGATTGTTCCCAACTGTGGCATTTGGTTCAATTTCTCCATTTTTGATGAATAACATGAAAGGGAATTGGTAGATCTTCCTTCAGAGCTTGTTT